TTTTTTTTTTTTTCTGATTTTGAGTTTTGTTCCACAGTTTTCTCCTACTCTACCAGAAACCTTCCATTGCGATCCCTTTCAGAGCAGTTGATTGTGGTAGATGGGCACCATCTAGTTCTTCTGGTGTCAGTCAGGTACGTGGAGTTTGATGTTCGTGTTTCACAAACTTTTTGCAGCTCTGTCATATTCGGGTGATAGGCAGAATCCACTGGAGGAGGTCTTGACTGTGAATCAATTTGTTGTTTTATTCTCTTAAAGAGTTTAGAGTTGGAGCTCCTGGATATACCTGACACTCTACAGTGTGCGACTCAAAGTACTAGAGTCACCAGTTAGCAAAGGTTGCATAGGGTGTAGTCAAGAAAGGTCAGTGGAGGAAGACCAAGGGAGGCTTGGAGGATGCCTGGCAGAAATGTTGGCCCTTACCAACTGCAACAACAAGGCCTCATTAGTCTTGCTGTCTCACAGGAATCCAGGGTTCAATTTCCCAGTGGGAAGGCAGCCCCTAATTTTAAAGAAACATAAAAAAAAGACACAGAAACCATAGGCAGTGTCCAACTTAAGAAGAAGTCAGTGCCATAGTCTAGTAAAAAGAAGAGGCAAGGACTGGTTTCTTTTCAGTCACAATGCCTAAGTAGGTTAAAACCAGGGTGTATGTTGGCAAAAAAACCAACAACCTAGTTTCAGTTCAAGGACAAACTTTTTTTCTTGAAAGATACTGTTTTTAGCAAAGCGGCAGTTAGGAATTATTTTAGAGACAAAAATTCACAAACAGAATTAAAAAAGGCTGCTGCTGTATTCTGTAGAGTCGGTTCCGATTCACACCACCTTGTATGGGATTTCTGAGGCTGTAAATCTTTATTGGAGCAGAGAGTCTTATCTTTCTCCCATGGAGCAGCTGGTAGTTTCAAACTGCTGACCTTGAGGTTAGCAGCCCAACTCATAACCCACTACCTTACCAGGGCTTCTTTGAATAAATTGTTATTTATATTTCCATGGATGGGTTTGGATTAACTTTATCACTGAATATTTATTGTGTAACAAATGTCCAGAAAATATTAAATAAAGTCCTTCTAGGTCCTAGTGTGGAGTCCTGGTGTTATGCTGTAGGATAAGCACTGGACTACTAACCGAAAGTCGGCAGTTCAAACCCACCAACTACCCCTTGGAAACCCAGCAGAGGGTCACTCTGAGTCAGAACTGACTCTGTGGCCCTTACCAACAGCAACAACAAGGCCTCATTAGTCTTGTTGTCTCACAGGAATCCAGGGTTCAATTTCCCAGTGGGAAGGCAGCCCTAAATTTTAAAGAAACATAATAAGTGGCAATTAGGAACATGGGCATTGGTTTTGACTTCTAGTTCTGGTTACTAGTTATGTGACCCTGGTAAAATTAATAATCTTATTGTGTTTTAATGGTCTTCTCTTAAAATTTAAATAATAATTGTAACTACGTCACAGGGCTGCTGAAGTTTTACTTTAATTAATCCATGTGAAGAATTTATGTAGTGCCTGGCATTTAGAATGTCCTCAAGAAATACTAGCTGTTATCACTATTGTTATTGACTCCTGTTGTCTGAGAAAGTGAATTCACAGGATGTGAGGCTGCTTGGAGAACATAGTTCTACCCTGACACACGTGGGGCACCATGCGTTGGAATCAATTTCACAGCAAGTGTCTTCTAATTAAATAATAATAATAATTTACTGGTAGACTTAGGAGGCTACCACTCATAGGAGGCATATTTGGTAAAGAAATACTCATTTTCAAGAAACGAGTCTTATAAACAGCCTAGAGAAACAAACAAACAAAAACACAGTAGCTCACAGTAAAAATGACAAAGGCAATCTGATTGAATATAAAATCTCAAGAGGATGGGGATATAAACTCAAGGAGCCAGAGAGATCAATTGCTGTGTTGTAAATAGTACCACTATGTAGGTACACTTAGTTGAAAGGCAGACTGCATTTCAGCAGTTAATTATAAAAACCTGTAGGGTAACATTTATTGGTTGCAGGAGGTCTGTTAGAACTAATACCTAAAAAATAACTCCAAGAAGACAGGAACAGGGAGGAAATGTTCCAAAGTCCAATTAACAGTCCTATCCTTGGGGTGGGGAACCATAAATTTAGGAGACTGTATCAATCCCTAAAATAAAAATTTCCTCCCTCCCTCTTTTCTTTCCTTCATTTTGGTTGGTGTGGGAAGGAGGTGGAGATTGGAAGACAGTAAAAGAAAGGAATTGTTTTTCTTGCAGTTACAATGAGGACTTTGCACTCCGTTCTAGTTCCTGGAAACATTGCTAGCATGCCCAGGACTATAAGAGAGCCGGCTTGGAAATGATCCAATTCTTCTGCTTCTTCTTTAGCCACTTGGCAGAGGAAAAAAGGTCAAAGTCAAATGTATTGATTCTGCTACTTAGAGTTAAAGATTGAGTGAACACAACCCTACGCTTTAAATTAATAAATACAATGTAGTTGGGGAGGTGGACACTCTGGGAATCCTATCATACTAACCACTTCTCACTCTCTTTCTTCAAAGGCTGTAAATTTTGCGTTGATGTGTCCCTGGGGAGGGTGGGAGTGGAAAGCCCTAGAACAGTCCCCAAGAGATTCAAATATCCAAATGTGGATATCAAACACTAACATGAGAATGAATAACATGTTTTCTCTTTGACTCATATATATACATATAAACTAACTTTCTGGATTGCAATTTACCTTTATTTCCTGCTTATAAAATGGACGCAAGCTGTAGAATTTTCAGACATTACAGAAATTGCTATGGAGTAGAAAGTGCAAGTTCCTAGTAATTCTATCCTTCAAAGAGGGCAATGTCATCCATTTGTTTTCCTACTATTTTTCGAATTGATGGAGAAACTATTGGGGTAAAATAAAGTTTTTAAATCAAATGAATTTTAAAGTGATTGCATTCATGATAGATCTTACAGTTGAAATAATAATTGTATTTATTTAGTGTTTTTAATATTTAGTGTTTGTAAATAAATACAGTACAAATGCAAATACTAACATTAAGAGATTCACCGTATTATTAAAGTTAAAAATGGGTCCCAGTACTTCTTCTGGAGTCCTGGTGTTGCACTGTAGGACAAACTCTGGACTGCTAACTTCAAGGTCAGCATTTCAAGCCCGCCAACCCTCATCGAAACCGTAAACACAGGGTAAATATAGAATCGACTCGAAGGTACTTACAACAACAACATACTTAGTAAGATTTGGGATTTCTTCGCTTGCCTCGTAATTACAGCAGTTGGTCAAAGTTTTGTCCTTGCCCGCAAAGGGGCGGTTCTTGGGGGGGCGGGTGCTCCGAGGAAATGGTAGTGACTGACAGCCACCGCCCCCCACACTCCCTCTAAGTTTTTGGTAAACAAGAAGATTCCGTTCCTCCAGCCAAAGAAGGAACGGTGGGAGGAGCGCCAGCGTGACCTCAAGGTTGGGTAAGATTTTATTGGTGCATAGTGAAGTCTAGGAGGATCTGGGAGTTTGTATTGGTCAGCTCTCCTGTCCTTAAGGGGATTGATGAACAGTGTCTCGTCGGGCCTGGCCTTTTGGCGTAGCGCTCCTCCCCGCGCGAGTGTGCGCCTGCGGGAGCGGCAAGAGCGCGTGCGCGCGGCCCCACGCCCCAGCAGCGCACACTCTCAGTCAGCCGGCGGGTGGAGTGGCGCGGGAGGTCACACTGGGAGGCGGGGCAGGGGCAGCATGGCAGCCTCCTTTCGGCTCGGAGGAGCAGCCTCCAGCCTCCGGTACTGGAGCCGCTTGCAGCGGCCTGCTGCGGCCGGCCTCTCCGCGGGTAAGGACCTCGCACCTTCTCCCCCGTACCTCCTCCAGCCTCCCGCCTCCCGCTCGGCCAGTGGAAGAGGTGCTTTCCCGGGAGGCGCTGTGGATCGGTCGGGGCTTACAAACAAAATTCTTGGCTGATCCAGGGCCTGGCTGCTTATGCGGCTGCCGCTCACGGGGGGAGTGACCCCCGTGACTTTAGATGAGTAAGGGCTCAGTGTTCTATTTAGGATTTAGAAAGGAACAGGGAAGAGCCGGAGTGAAGGGAGGATTTAGGTCTGGATTCTGCTTCCTTGGAGTTAGGGATCCGAGGACTTTTGGGGTGACCCTGTACGCACCCCAGCTACCCTTGGCCTTTCAGAGCTTCTTGGCTCTGCATTTGCTAACCTTTCAGTGCCCTCGGGCCATAGGGTCTGATTCACTGTGGGTTTCAAAAAGTTGGTGTAAAATGCAGTTAAAAGATAATGTCATTTTCCCACCAACGTATGTTTACCACTTGAGGCTGGTGGAATGTCGATCTACATTGGTGAAAAAGTGAATGCAGCAAATTTGGTCCACCCTTGGCCATCAAGGTGGACTTACCCCTTTTTTTCTGTTACTGTGCCACTTGAAGATGGCACCTCTGTCAAATTATTAATCTAAATAGTTTACTCAACCACAAATATGAGATTGTGGCTTGAATCTCTCTATGGCACTTAACAAAACAATAGGTTCTGACGAAGTGTCTTGGTGTCACAGTGATTAAAGCGCTCAGATGCTACTGAAAGGCTCGAGCAGCCTCTCCTCCAGAAAAAGATGTGGTCACATTCTGGGGCAGCTCTGCTCCGTTCTATAGGGTAACTATGAATCTGAATCAACCAGGTTTGGTGTGACCTACAAATTGGAAAGAACTTGTTGGCACACAAGTAGGGTTTAGAAAGGAGTTCCTTACTCTTTGATTTCATGCTTTTACTATTACACCAGGAGCCCTCATCACTTTGGGTCGGTTGATTTGTGGGGACACTACCAGTTGACTTCCTGTGCAAGTTTGAGAGTTGTAACAGATGCACTGTTTAAATCTTATGCATTGTGACCCTATCGATGCACAACAGAAGGAAACGGTGTCCATCCTGCGCCATCCTCACAGTCTTTGCCATGTTTGAGCCCATTACATTATTGCTGCCACTGTGTCAGTCCATATCGCTGGGAGGTTTCTTTTTCCATGACCCTCTACTTTATCCAACATGATGTCTTTCTCTAGGGATTTCTCCCTCCTGATACCATGTCTAAAGTATGTGAGACAGTCTTGTCACCCCTGCTTCAGAGGAGCATCTTCTAAGACAGATTTGTTCATGCTTCTCCAATGTCATAATTCAAAGGCAACAAATCTTCTTGGGTCTTCCATATTAATCATTTAGCTTTTACATGCATAGGAGGAAGTGATTGAAAATATCCATGACCGTGGGTCAGGTGCACCTTAGTCCTCAAGGTGACATCTTACTTTGAGTTTGAGCTCAAACTCAGGACTAAAAGGCCTTGGTGTTAATTTATTCTAATCTTTGTTTTTAAAAAATAAAGAATTATGATTTGAATTAACAACGCGCTTCTTTGCTTCAGTAAAACCTGTGCAGAAGAATGAATTTCCTCTTGGGTTTAAAATAGCTAGGCTCTATCTGATGTTAGAGAACAGATGTCTGACACAGAATCTTACTAATAAGATACAAACAGAACCTGCCAGACTTCAATGGAGCCACTCTGAGCTATGTAAAAGATGCCTCTCACTTTTAGGTACTTAAAAAAAAAAAAGAAAATGAATCGGCCCGTTTTTGCGGACTAGTAAATATAGTACCGGTTTTCACATGAATGTGTAATTCTCTAAATTCTAATTAGCCAAGGAAGACCTATTTGGTGGTTAGTGGTTTTTAAGGTGGTCTGATGATATTTTAATGACCTTGGTGTACCTTTATAAGTTTATGGGTGCGAGATTCTCAGGCTCTGGCCATCATAATTAATCTGTAAAGTGGGAGAGCTCACTGCACAATACTGGTTAGATTACTTTGGTTTATAATCTTGTTTTTTGGGTTCTTTGACCCAAAGATGTTACAAGAAGATAGATTTATGGTACTATATAAATGTATGACAACATTGAAATGGTTCTTTTGTCGTGGTGTTTTAAAACACTTCCATTGTTTATATGCTGTGAAATTAAAATAGACATTTTTGTTATTTTTACTTCAAAAGTTTTTACTTTTTTTAACGTGAAGTATTAAAAAATAAAAAAAGATACATACAAATTTGAAGCCTAGGAACATAAAGAAAATAAAACCAGGTATCAGTTTTGTTCAAATAACAACATTATTTTAGTGTTGTCAATTTAATATGTTTGAAATGTTTCTATCATGTGAATGGTAACATTATTAGCATCCCCTATAATGTATTATTATTTTTTAAAATAAGACCTAAAAGTTGTAGATTGTTGTTGATGGTAGTGTGCCATAGAGTCGGTTCTGACTCATAGTTACCCTGCATGTGGTTTCGGAGGCTGTAAATCTTTACAGGAGCAGATAGCTTCTTCTTTCTCCTGTGGAACAGCTGGTAATTTTGAACTGCTGACCTTGAGGTTAGCAGCCCGACTCGTAACCACTGTGCTACCAGAGCTCCTTACAGCTTTAGTTGTTGTTGTTAAGTACCATGGAGTCAGTTTCAACTCATAGTGACCCTGCACAGGGTTTCCGAGGCTGTAAATCTTTACGGGAGCAGAATGCCTACTCTTTCTCCTGCGGAACTGCTGGTAGTTTTGAACTGTTGACCTTGAGTTTGGCAGCCTGACTCGTAACCACTGCACTAACGCTACCAGAACTCCTTAGTATGAGGCTGTAAATACAGGATCAGTATGAGTTGGAACTGACTTGAGGGTATACCACCACAACAATAAAGCATCAAAAAGGAAATAGAAAAATAAACAGCATTAGATTATAGTATATATGCTTCTCTGGGTGCCTTATGCCCGACTCCTGCTCTTCCTTCATGATGGTCCTGGGATCTTCTTTCTCTGCTTCTGAGATAGCTGTTTTTAAATCTAGCTGGAGGGCAAAACTAACCAATCCCAGACTTAGACTCCTGTATGCTTTATTTGCATGGTCCTACCCAATCACTTTGTGGGAATTAAGACTTGGAGTAGAAAAGTCATAGTAAGTAAAATTCAAGGCACCACAGTGACCCTGTGCACAACAGAACGAACCACTGGCCCTCCTGCGCCATCTCAGTTGCTTTGTGTGAGTCCATGCTTGCTGCCACTGTGCCAGTCCATCTTGTTTGGGGTCTTCCTCTTTTTCACAAACCCTCCACTTGACCAAGAATCATGTCCTTCTCCAGGGACTAGTATTTCCTGACAACATGCTCAAAGTACAAAGGATACAGGACTATCAAAGGGGCTTATTAAGAAGTTTTAAGAAAATGGAAAATTGCATTGGTGAGAAAAAGGCCAGGAAAGTTATGCTGAGGAATTTTTGCCTGCATCATGGCAGTGCACCTGCTCATTCTTTGAGGATAGCAAGGGCTGTCCTAGGAGAAGTTTGTTGAGAAACCTTACCCGTCTTCCCTATAGCCCCCATCTTGCACCTTCAAACTTACTTTTGTTTCCTAAACTCAAAGAACCTTTAAAAGGAACACAATTAGCATGCTTCTAGGAGGCCCAGACTGCTGTTTTGATATACAGAATTCTTAGGAAGGGCTTGGTACTGGTAGTGTGCCATTGAGTCAGTTCTGACCCATGGCAACCCTGTGTGGTTTCTGAGGCTTTAAATCTATATGGGAGCAGAAAGTCTCATCTCTCTCTACCATGGAGCGGCTGGTGTATTTGAACAGCTAACCTTGTAAGCAGCTCACCAGGTAACTCACTATACCAACCAGGGCTCCTTCAGGGAGGGATTTTGTTGTTAAATGTCATTGGTAAGTTTCCACTCATAACTACTTCATACAGGGTTTCTGAGGAGTGGCTGGTAAGTTTGAACTGCCAACCTTGTGGTTAGCTTTCCAGTGTTTATTCTACAGTGCCACTTCAGGACTCCAGGGACAGGTTGTTGTTAAGTGCCGTGGAGTTGGTTCTGACTCATAGCGATCCTGTATAGGGTTTCTGAGGAGTGGCAGGTGAGTTTGAACCATTGACCCTGTAGTTGAAACTGACCTTGTGCTCTAGTGCTCATCCTACAGTGCCATACCAGGAGTGGTTAGAGAGATGGGAATGCCACCTTTAGAAGTATACAGACCTACAAGGATATTGTGTCATGAAACAGCTTCACATTTTGATACTTTAATTTAATAAATGTTTTTATAATTTTGCAGCAATACTTTCTGACTTCCCCTCATATCTGAAATGTTTACAATCAAGATTGTGGTCATATCAGTTACTTCCCCAGATTTCCTCATGTTTCTTTGCATATGCAAGTATCTTATTTCTGTATTTCACTAGGTATAGGTTTCTATGTTGACCAAACCAAGAACGGACTGCTGTCAAGTTGATTCCAACTCAGGGTGACCCTGTAGGACACAGTAGAACTCTTCCATAGGGTTTCCGAGGCTGTAAATCTTTATGGGAGCAGACAGCCTCATCTTTCTCCTGTGGGTTTGAACCACTGACCTTTCAGTTAGCACACCAGCACTTAACCCCCTGCACGACTAGAGCTTTTTCTAGGTCGACAGTTGTTTCTTGTTTCAGTACTTTAGAGATGTTTCTCCCCTGTCTTCTCACTCAGTTTCCTTCAAGAACTCGACCTTCATCCATACCATTGGTCTTCTGTACCTTTCCGCCCTTCTGGCTGCTTATGAGCATTTGGGTTATCATGTGTCTTGGTGTAATTTTCTTCATGTTTCTTGTGAATGGGGTTCAATGAGCTTCTTAGCTGTGTGGGTCTATGTTGTTTTTGTTAAATGATGTCGAGTCGATTCTGACCCATAGCGACCCTGTATAGGATTTCCAAGGTGCAGTTGGTGAGCTTGAACCACAGACCTTGCAGTTCAAATGACTTGCAGTCT